ACTACACCAAAGGTGCCAAACAGTGCATCATATACTCACATACTGTTGATAATCTGGTGGAAATGTGTTCGCAATAGTTTCGAAATCATCAATATCTGAATTCAAGAATGAGACAGAAAAATCAAGCTCTGAAATTTGTAACTGACAATTTTCATTACCAGATATGTTAAAGTATGCGCGAAGAGAGTTTTTTGCACCAGAACTTGTAAGTGGCGTTGTTCCGCCCCACAGGTGACTCATAAGTAAACACACATGATTAATGAAATTATAAACCTAAAATGCAGAAAAGTAGGGGGTGCTTTGGATGTATTCTTTCTGAAAGTAACCTATTCAAAACTTTTTTCCCACCTGATATTATGGAGAAGCTTGGGTGAAGCGTTAATGGGTGTACGTTTGTCTATGAACAGGTTCTCTTCACAGTTATCCATAATTTATTTTTGGCTTTTCTTGTTCATTCGTCTGCTCAAATATCATCGATGTAGACCTGAAGTAGCAAAATATTTCGTAATACGTCTTCCTCGGTTTTGTGCAGTTATTTGTGCTCAGCTACTGAAGAAAGCTTCGGAGTGTCATGTTTGAGTGATTGCAGATGCCTAAAAGTGTATTTTCAGATGAACAAATTCTCCACGGAATATGGAGGTTATCGTAATGAGCACGAGAAGTTCTACCACATCTCAAAGGTGTCCACGAAACAGATCCAAGTACTCATCTAGATAGTTATCAGTGAAGCGCTTTATGAAAACTGTTGTTAACAACAAAGTAATAATTTGCCCTATTGAGAAACGGTATGAAGTTGCTTTGAACAATTATAATCAATGGAATTCGATTGAAGTTAGAAAAACAATGAGTCAGAAATTTTCAAGAATGTGAAAAGTTTGGAAAAAATTGTGAATATTTTGAAACGAAACACTACATCGGGAGGTGTGAGATTAAAAAGAAAAATGCGGTTGTACCATTTCTCATCATATTGATTTGACTGTTGTTATTACTTTATCGACTGCTCATGGTAGAGTCCACCATTTTGAAATTTACCCTAATTTGGTTATGTCCTCTGAATATAACAACATTGATTGAACTGCACTTGGCAATGTTATTCGAACTGCTCTTAATAATTACTCGTTAATATCAGTCATTATGTATTCTGATCGTGCCTCCAGCTTCGCATATTAATTTTAACAGAACGGTTTAGTGCAAACAGAAACGGCTGATAGACTCACGGTAATAATCTGGTCAAATGCGCCTAATGACGCTGTGTGTACAAAATTAATTGCAGTTAACATCATGAATGAATAATTTACTTGTATCTAATTTCAGTAATTATCATTACATCGTCCTCAATTTAGATACTACTTTTTACACATTCTCGTCGGATTGTAGAATGTATTATCAAACTTGTCATATATCTAATTAGTTTTTTTACCGAAGGTTTCTTTCTTCTTCTCTGAAGGATGCAATAATTGTACCGATTCATAAAGAAGATGAACAATTAGCTTCCGAATATGCTTCATTTACACCCATTTCATCCAACAAACCATATTGATTGGGCGAGTTTCTGTGAGCTTTCCTATCGTCCTTTTATCCTAAATTGACATTTCATTAATGAATTCACTACCAGAAATAAATCGACAAAGTTTCAGGTTACCTGTAATTCAGTGTTTAATAAAATTATTCGTGGGTCCCTTTCTGGACAACTCTCATTTCGGTTCAATGTTCATGTAAAATACTACCACATTTTTTCTATTTGAAGGCGTTTCTCCTCCACACTTGGAATAAAGATCATCAGTTGTTAGTTGGGTACCATACTAGCAAGTGATGATTCGTAAAAAATGAATATAGTTTCTACTTATCAATATGGTTTTCAAGTTGGTTTATCACCAAGAGATGCTTTGGTTATAACTAATCACTTGCGTTTTCCAATTTTGTCAAAAGTGAGAACACAGTTAGTATTCCATTCGATCTGACTGAAACTTTTAATACCATTGATCACAAACTACTGGAAAACATTAGGTATAAAATCTGATTAAACGTTCATGAAGAGTTGAACTTTCACTAAAATCTGAAACTTTCCGTTCTGAATGTTACTGAAATCATAGCAGGAGTTTCCCAGGTTAGCGTTCTCGGTCATATCTTATTATAAATCCACATAATTGTACAGATCAATTTGGTGATGCTCCTCACGCTCAATTATACAGATTGTGAAAGTTTAACGTCACAAGATAAAATAACAGTTGTTAATTTGCAATAAGATATTTCGAAACCGTTTTTTTGTTTCAACAAAAGAATTACAGTATCTTTTGAAACCTAGTTATTCTTTTTCTTCCTTGGACTTGGATTACTGGAGTAAATAGTTTGAAATAAATTTTTCTCTCACGAAAAACACCAAAGAATACTCATATACGTCATGAAAAAAAAATTGGTTCGGAGACTACGAAAGATTTAGTTCGAATCTATTGGTACTAAACCAAAGAGAATTAGCCATATGAAGCTAAAGTTCAGTAACGTTTTTCATATTTTTGAAAATAACTGAAGCAAAAACAAAATATATATTCAATAATTTCAACTATTTTACCAATTTCTATTGGATCTTATCTAGATCTTTCACCGTTTTTGTAACTTCTACTGCTTATGAAATATCAATGCAATTTTAATATGAAATGGGTTGAAATGGTTCACTTGACGTAACGGAAACCACAAGTCTAATTCGAGCGAACTAAGGATTAAAGAGGTTCTACTTATCAATATGCGATATCTAGGAGAGTGTGTTAATACACACGGAACACAAATTCCGCAGAAAACTTTGAGAATGATTCTGTAGGACATTTTCGTTTGTCGGATTCGTTGGAAAGTGATAACCATATATTTATTTGGGATATTCCGGAACACGTATGAGATGAATTGTTGAGAAATTCATAAAGTTCAGTAGTATTTTGTAATTTCTCACTTTGATTTAATTGTGATTCTAAAAAGTCTAACTGATAAAGTTCACTGCACTGACTTTAGATTTTTTGTTCTACAATAACTTCAAGTGGAAATGATAAATTACTTAAAATTTACAAACATGGTGAACTGTAATGTTATACCTAGTAATATACATTTCACTTCGGGAAGAGACAGATTTTTTTCAATTCAGAATTTTTTAAATGCCGGATCTGTCTCTCATACAATGTAGCATAATAGCAAGACCTAGAGAGTGTTTATGTAAACAGAATTCATCGGCGTGTTTTGAAAAGATGCACAGTCAGATATATTTGTCACGTAGTTGAAAACCACTCAGGGTGAAGATATGGGACCATCAATATAACAGCCTAGAAATCATCATTCAGCGAAATAGGTTTTCTGATAAACCTCCGTCGCACGTGGATGACGGGTTAGGAAGAACGGTTTGAGATACAGGGATGACGAGGAAACAGAAAAGGTTGGAGGAAGTCTTGAGAGCCACGAAGGGGGTTCGACACGAGAGCCCGTGAAGTCGGGTTCTGGGGTGTCATCGCTCAATCTTCGAGGCTGAGGATAGTGGTCTGAATAGGAAAGTTATTTTGTTTTTGAACGCGGGGTACGAAATTTAAGGAAAATCAGTAGCGAAATTGTAAACCGGTATTCGGTACAGGAAAGTAGAAAATGAAAGTGTTAGTGTTGATGACATTGGTTGACAATGAACCACCAAAGAGGTATTATGTGAGTTTTTTTTATATACTAACCAGTTGATATTGAGAGAGAGAGAGAGAGAAAGTTCACATATTATTTTGACCGAGTTCACTTTCTATTCGCGAAGAGGTTATATATTGTTGTGTTCCTAGTGTGGGGTTGTTTAGCTAGAGTTCAGATTTTCAATTGAAAAGAAAGCAAATTTAAGATTATACACCACTCTCCCTAAAGTGAAAGTAAAACTGAAAGTATTTTGTACTGAGATGAAGCGTTTGTAGTTGTTTGAAATGTTAAATCGGAAGCAAGTAGCACAGTCAATTTGGCGGCATTTTCTTTGTTATATTTTTTTTTATTTATTAGAACTTCACATTTTTGTATAAGATTGTATACGTTGTTTTTTTTTTGTTTCTCAATGGAATTGTCGTTTTACTCATTATACTTAAGATGTTAAATCGAAAGTAAGTAGCACAGTCAATTTGGCGGCATTTTCTTTGTTCTATTTTTTTATTTATTAGAACTTCACACTTTTGTATGAGATTGTATACGTTGTTTTTTTTTTGTTTCTCAATGGAATTGTCGTTTTACTCATTATACTTACTTCATATTTGAAACCTAGAAATTTCATTTTTTCTTGGACTGAGAAAAATACCACCCTAGAGTAAGATGAAGTTGAAAAAGCAAAAAAAAAGATTAGAGATCTTTTAGTCAATCTATCGAGAAGAGAAAAGTAAGGTATCAAAAAGACTTCCTTTTCGTGCAGGAGGCCGAATTCAAGCCTCTTTCGGAATTGTCTAACATCCAAAATTTGATGTGGAGAAATCCGCATCTGGTGACAGCAGCTGTCAAAATTAATTTAGAAAGAATAAATAAACCAGAAAGGAGCATTTATTACACTGGTGAGAGCTAAGTGGGATTTCACGAGGACTTCTCGGTTAAGAAATCTAATTCCTCAGACCTCAGTTTTTTTGTACGTTACTACAGTAGAAACATTAGCTACTGCCTACAGTTCAGCTAATCATAGGCTAGAACTGCATGACAAGACTGTGTCTTGTCACCTGAAATACTCACTAGTGAAAACAGGCAAAAACAGGTTAATACGTTGAGGATTACTGCCTAGTAATATTCTGAGGTGACTGAGTATGATAATTTTCAAGAAATCAATGTCCACTAGATATTGGGAATTTGTGATTGTATGTAATTCTTTATAAATTAAATTAGTATAATATGAAATCGTGCATATTCTATACGGATCACACTTTTAGCTATGCATATACTAAAATACATTTTTTGAAAATAATTTACTTCTTTTGATTTCTGCATTTTGTTGTTCGATAGGGACATTAAAAATGCTTTGACAGCTCTTAAAATCGTTTCACTAAGTTTCAGTGTTCAAACATATTATTCAAGATAAACAAAAAATATTTCCAAGTATTATCATGTACATTCAAAATCACCTAATAGATTTTCTTTTTGCCATATACAACTGCTTCAAAACGGGAATTTTATTTCCACCATTATTATTTTTATCCAGATCTAGAGACAACTGTACTATCACAGTATGCCCTTTCACCTCAGCTAGTTGATACGGGGTTAAACTGAGATTATTCATACAATTTATGTATTTCTTACTATATAGAGATATGAATCCTCTTATATTACCCCGACCGGCAGCTATGTGAATAGGCAAATCACCATGAACAGTCTTCAAATCAGGTCGTGCATTATTTTTCAATAAAATGTCTACAACATCCCAATGACGATTGAATGATGCTGCAACATGTAGCGGAGTATAGTGATCCTCGTCTATCAAATTGATATCTGCTTTGTTCTCCAACAGAAGTTTCACAACAGAAGTGCCATTTGTTTCGACAGCAATGTGTAGAGGCGTTGAACCATTCCCATCTTTAGCATTCACGTCGAGACCGTGATCTATCAGCTTTTGACAGATGTCTTCGTTTTTATATCTGACTGCAAGATGGAGAAGCGTTGCATTTTGGTGATCTCTGACAGTTATATCGGCTTCTCTTTCTATAAGAAGATTCAGCATCGGTAAATTGGAAGATTTGATAGCTTGGTGTATTGGAGTTTCACCTAATGAAAGAGAAAAACACTATGTACTAATCGAATTGTATACCTGTGATACACTGTTTGGAACCTTTGGTGTAGTAATGAATATTACTGGAGTTTTTTCCAACACCAAACCGTTATTTCAACATCTCGACACATATTTCGATCACCAAATCATCCATCTTCTTGAAGATGATCAAACTGATCTTCCTCTTGAAGATGATCACTTGGTGATCGAAACACGTGTCGAGGTGTTGAAATAACAGTTTGGTGTTGGGAAAAATCTTCAGTAATATTTAAATCAAATTATCTCAAGAAACAATTCGTTCAGGCTAGTCTTCCCTTACCAACACAGAAGGTTTATGGACTGATACCTATCATAAAACAACTACTCCCCAGGCTTACACCACGAAGGGGGTTGGATTTTATCCGAGATGTGTCAAGAGTGAAATTAATTTCAATTTTATTCTATTTTTTTAATAATTATATACATTGTATGATTTACACTTTACTCATTGTTTGACCCAGTTCGATCACAATCATTTCGTTACAAATTAGTTTTCTTGAGATATGTATTTAAATAAGCCAATGACCTGAAATATATCACCGAAAATGTTCAGCTCATTGCGAAATGACACGGTTCGCATCCGGAAGTATTTTGAGTTTTGGCCATGTCAATCATTTCATAACGTAATCGAACGAGGTACGGAATAATGCTGCACGAAACGATGATTTGCCGCCAGAACGGGGTTTTATCCCCCTTCAGTGATCTCTCCTGACGGATGGTCTGATTGATGTCCTTGATATAAATGAAGAAGATCTGTAAGCTCAGGCATATGACCTTTTTATCTTGGTAAAGACCATATTGTGAAGGAAAGCCTTCCAATATTCTTCTAGCTGTTACTGAAATTCATAGTATTCGGGCATGAGCAGATATAAACATATTGGTTCACTGATGGAATGAAAACACCTTCAGGAACTGCTGAAGGCATATTCAGTTGCAGACATAGCACAGGATAAGAGATTTGCGACTGTATTTCAATCAAAAATCTCCTATTTTGGCTTTTGTGAACATTGATTGGCAAAAACTAACCTCACAAATGAATCAATAGAAATATTCTTGGATAGCCCAGCGGCTGTGAAAATACTTGACCCTGATCAAGCAATTTCCAAGTTGTTGATAAAATGTCAAATACTTTTCCCAATGGGAAGACTCAACAAATAGTATTTGGACCAGTTTGTTGGTAACATTAGTCTTGAAGGTAGTGAAGCTGGGCCCTCTTTGCAAAGTGAAATGCTAAATAAATATGAAAATTTAAAGTGCAGTATAATTAATGACGTTGATACATTAAAAAAAAGTATTCCACATATAGTATGGGGGCATACTTGAAGACTGGCGAAAAATCAAATTAACTGAAAAAACAATTTATTTAGGCCAGTTCCAACTCGTCTATACTTCACAGTCAGTCTTCAAATATGCCTTCTTACTAGGTGTATTGTCAACACCATATAAGAATGAGTTCTGTGAAGAATACTGCACTGACACCTGTCGGATATAATCCAACGCCTTTCGTGGTATCAGCCAGAGGAGTAGTTGTTTTCTGATAGGTGTCAGTCCATTAACCTACAGTGAAGGTAATTTGAGACTGGCCTGAACGGATTGTTCTTTTAGATAATTTGATTTGCAGCCAGTCTCCAAGTATGCCCACTCATTTTGTAAAATAATCTACCGTGTAGGTGAGTTGAGATTGGTCTGAACTGTTTGTTCTTTTAGATAATTTTAAATAAGGGTAGGTACCATCCATTTATTTTTTGAGAACTCAGGCATTTATGCAACATTGATAACAGCGACAGTTCGAAAAAATATACTAGATTTCTGAAGTTCTTATGAGGAAATATCAGAAACTCAATAAGATGTTTATTGAGATTTAGATAATGTCAGATTCGTAAAAATATTTCAGTGACTAAAAGATGTATCTTTCCAAAGTAGTGATGAATCGCCAAAAATGTTTCCACTTTCAAATCACCTGCACACTCGATATTTATCTCTTTTATCGAAACATACTCAGAGAACAAGAGAATGTATTTGTTTTCTGAAGTACAGTATAAATTATCATAAACTCCATACTGAGTGCTGTTATCAATTGTTATTTCTCATCATATTACGAAAATAATAACGGAAAATATTTGCACTTCTTGAGTTCTTGTGATCCTTGAATGTTTAATGAGAGTACTCGATATCGATTGATATCGTTTTTTGTAAATTTCTAGAATAGTTTTTTAAATTGCACCTTCATTGAAGATTCTGCTTAGTGTTCATAACAGAAGGCAATAACATTTTCGAGATCATAGAAACATTTCTCTATTAGGAGACATTGCAACTTGCTTTTGTATTTCTTCCTGCAGATTTGATATCAGATGGTAATATATCAATCAGTATCCTGTGGTAATTTTTTATAACATCAACGATAGTGTCTCAGCATATACATACATACATATATCGTTATGGAACCTAATTATAAGCAATTGAATTGGAATACTTACTTCGCCATGATACCTAGTTGTTTTTCGAATAGATATATTCTAACAGAGGTAAGACTATTTTTACACCTGCCTCTTTGCTGGACGTTCAGTATTCCGAATTGAATATGATTTGTATTATTTTCCCATAAAATGATATATCAGATCATATGTTTTCTCGAAAAAATGATATTCGCGCTATTATATCGTGGCAGAAAGGAAGAAAAGTTTCGTCTGCTTCTGCCTCATCTTCAGTGGTATATACATTGAGTAAAGTGGTATTTCGATATCTCAGCAACGATAGACTGAAAAGTTTTGTCCTAACTCATTTTTATGAAAGTGAGGAGTGTTGAGAATGAGGTGTCCATGACAATGCTTACCCCTGGTTAGTATAAATTTCTGCCGGGTTGTTCTGATTGATTAAAATTGTTGATAAGTGTTTTGCTGGTGGGATGTTGATTGGAATTGTATTCTAGTCCATCTTGTTTTCGTTAAAAAATTGACTCATGTGAGAAGATTTTCAAATCGAGTGGTATTCGTAAAGATTATTTCCTGATATATTCTCAGGTGAATGCATTGTTATGAGAACATACTCATATCAATATTCATCGAATCAATTTCATCATTGACACATATATGTTAATTACATAGCTGTCAGTATCATCACTGTTGATTTTATTGCTGGTTGGAACATGAAAATGTATCGCAAATTGCTTTTCTCATCCAGTTTAACTTAATTACTTACTAACAGTTAATGACAAATTTTTATCAAGAGTCGTTGAATTTTTGTTTGTCAGATTTGATTTCTCAAATGCAACCAATAGCTACTCTTTTTTAGTGGACGTTTTCATATGCACAAAAAAACAGTTCATGTTCAACAAAATAGATTCTGAATTTAAAATGGGACTTTCCAAAAATAAATTCAAATTCTGAATAACAAGTGACAATTTTTCAGTTGAAAATGGAAAATCTGATTTTGATTCGATATTTCCATAAATGGAAGGGTTATACCAGTTGACCTCTGATGATATTGTGTAACACTTTCATCGAAAAAAATGAAATGAACATGGTATAAAATCACCTTTTATACATTATGAGCTTGTATGCAAGCTTTCATATAACTTGATCTGATGGCATGCGTGTAAACCTTAACAGTTTGAGTTGAAATTTCACAGAATCTTTTGGTTCTCATGGCAATGAAAGATCAATAATTGTCGCTATTTCAAATTTTAAAAAAAGTGGAGTTCACCAAATTGTAATTTGATAAGAAGAGTAACAAAATTCTGAATCAAATATAACGAAAGTCTCTTCATTGCGGAGCGGGATATCTCCGTAATGTGCAATGCAATAGCGTACTAAGCTTATGTACTGAAAGGAATAAGAAAGGTTTTTCGCTCAAAATAGATGATTTCTCTCTCATGTAAACCTCTAGTAAAGCGTGTTTTCGGGCTCTGTAATACGAAGGAAGATCTCGAAAAGGAACTAGACATCATCAAAACTGACCTTCAACGGAATTTTAACTCCAAAGTGATGGTAGAACAGATTTTAGCTAGAAGACAGCAAGAGCCTCACAAGGAATAGAAGCCGTCACAACCAGTACTTGCATCTCCCTACATCATCACAGGATTGCCAAAAAGAATAAAGAAGAATTGGGTACAAGTATAACATCAGAAACTGCTTCAGATCTGGGAACACTATCCTTAGAAGCCTCACGAAAACCCACCAAACGCGGACTATGATTCCAAGAATTACAATTACCGGATACCTTGCGAGTGCGGAGAATTCTATATCAGTAGAACTTAGAGCCTATTGAAAATCTGCATTGTCGAGCACAAGAAACACACACGGCGAGGAGAAACCAACAAATCAGAAATAGCAGAGCATGTTTGGACTCATCAAAATAACATCGAGTGGTCTGAAGCTGAAATTATTCGCAAGGAGGAACACTAGTTCAAGAGAAAATTCAAATAAGCAGCATATATGTTGTCCAACAACGAATTTAGCCAAGCTAACGTATAGATACGCAACATATGGAAACCCTCAATCAAGCGGAAAACGGCCAACTCCCGCTAAAACTGATGAAGCGGAGAGAGGGCAGAGGGAATAGGTGAAAGCACTCGAATGACCTATAAATAGTAAGTTCTCGGAGAAATAAGTCCAGTTATCACTCGAAGATGATTGTGAATATCAACAATCGAAACGTTGTGAAGTAACTTGACTTGAAATCTTTTGAATTCAATTTTCATTCCTTGTTAATTGTTCAATTTTCATTCGTTGCTTGTATTCCATTTCATTGTAGTTTAGGTTTTTCGCTTGATTTAATTGTTATTTTTTCAGCTAATCTTTTTAATTTTTCAAATGTTTTTCATGGATTTCAAATCATTCCATATCATATTAGACAATGAAAGTCGGAACTGATGAAATGCACCATAAAACATTGTCAACCACCTTCAAAGAAGACTTTCTTAAACCTTATTAGGCTAGCATGGCAAATCCAGCAAAATTGCAAAAAAATACATCGATTTGTAGCTTATTAGTTGCCAAAACAACGATTTTGTTGCTCGTGCCGATCTCTATAGTCTATTTCAAAAGAGTGTAGAGTAATAAATCATGAAATGTCATAAAATTTGCCTGAAGATCGTTGTCGTCCATGGGCGTAGGCAAATCTTAGGATTATTAAACTTAATAATTAAAGTAAATTAAAAATTACAGACATAGATAATAATAAAAGGCCATTTTATATTCATTTTTCAAAATAAAATTTTATGTTTTACATTCCAGTTAAACAGCTTGTCTCATTGTACCGGGTCATATTCTATATAAAATTCGTTGACACACTCTCACAAGTTGGACAATTTTTCGACTGTTTGCTGTCATTCAAAAATCAAAAATAAAATAATATCTAATATTAAACGATAACAGTTTGGTAGCAAAGTAATATCAAAATCAAAAATATTGAATTGAAGTATGAATTAGCACTTGTCAGTATACGCTTGTTATTAAACACTAAAAACTTTTTTACTAATCAATGCATTACAAAAGTAATAACAGATGAATCATTGTTTCATTGAAACCGTTAACTCCTGATTAACTTTGTTTTTCACGATTCATATGTTTGATGAAAGAGAAAGTAAATAATCCCTTGATTAATTACGATCTTTGCCCCTAATTTACCTATAAGTCAAGAGACATGGAGTACATTACAAATACTCACGAATAATACAGTTAACTATTTTTGAATAGCCGAAACTACATAAAAAGACGACGAACTGACTTGCGTAACTTCTATCAGAAAAAAAATCAGAGTTAATCCCTAGTCATGCCTAAAGGAGTTTTACTTCGAATATTTTAAAAATCGGCCGATCGGTTTCAACTATTTTGTTGCTCATCCTCCAGGGGTATTTGAGTAATCTTGTAATGAGTAACAAATCAAGAATACTTTCTATTCCAGAAAAAAACCGGTTTCAAGATAACAAGAACAGAGATAATTTAAAAAAATATTAAAAAATGGCCCATCAAAACCAACTATTTTGTTGCTGATACTCAAGGTGTATTTGAGTATACTCCTGGTGAGCAACAAATTTGAAACACTTTTTACTCTAAGAAAAACCAGTTTCGAAATAGCAAGAACGTGGAAAATAAAAAAAATGAAAATCGGCCGATCGGTTTCAACTATTTTGTTGCTGATACTCAAGGTGTATTTGAGTACCCTCCTGATGAGCAACAAATTCATAATACTCCGTATTCCAGAAAATACCGGTTTCAAGATAGCAAGAACAGGGATGATTCAAAAAAATATTAAAAATCGGCTGATCAAAGCCAACTATTTTGTTGCTGATTCTCGGAGTGTATTTGAGTA